TATCTTGGAGACCTTTCAATATCAGTAATGGGTGCGGAATATGCCAGAGGGTAAATGTGCTATAAAGTAACTAATCAGTTCCCTAATGGACATTTATGTTGCTTTTAAATTTTTTCTTTCTTTTTTTTTAACCTTTAGGCAATTCAGTAATGAACCACCTTTTACATATATACACATCTCTGTACAACAATGCCAGTATTTCTGTGGATACATGCTTAGAAACGGAATTGCTGAGTCAAAGATTACATAATGTAACAACACGATAGGAATTGTCCTCAAACTGCCAAACTGTGCACAAAAGAGGCTGTTCAAATTTACACTCCCATCAAGTGTTAGAGAGTATTCAGAGAAGCTGTAGGAGTTCCAAATAGGTGTCTTAGGGGCTACTGGGGAATAGAAAGGGTCAGAAAAGGTAGTCCACATAGCAATCTCCTATCCTCTTCAGTCAGAGCCCCTCTCCTTTCATCAACGTTACTTATTGGGCTTAGTTTAAAATTCCTCTTGGGGAGAAGTTTCTGGAACTAAACATTTGAAAGCCTTTGAAATAAAAAATTATCTGTTTTTAAGTGACAAAAAAATATTAATTAATAGATTACTTAGGAATGGTCTCAGGTACAAGTAACAGATGACCCAACCACAGCAGACTGAATCAGTGAGGGTACAATTTTCTCATGTAACATAAATCCAGCAGCTGCATTTGTTCAGTGATTCAGTGGCCTTTTGGGCTTTTCCTTAATGGTTACAAGATGATGCCACCTCAACTCAAGTATTATGTTTGTATTCAAGACAGAATGAAAGGGAGACAGTTTTCATTAGTCACTCTGGCCCTTTTATCAGAATCACAAAAGTGCTCCTAGAAGCAGTCTGCTGCTCCCTAAGATCTTTGCTCATATCTTATTGGGCAGAACTTTTTTGGGTGTAGTGTCTAATTGTTGCAAGGGAGGTTGGGAAAAGTGGTTCATTTCTTCTGGCTTTTATAGAGGAAGCAGGCAAAAGATAAGTCGGGTGGAGTTGTTGGGTTAGCTGGCCATCATACTCTGCCCCCAAGTGCTCAGAATACGAAAAACTCAAGATGCAAAGGCAAATAAGGTAGTCCTTATCCTTAAGGTGTTAACAGACATACATGCAAAAAAAACACTTTTACTGGTGCAATAAAAATGTTATATGTTATATGTCCCAATGCAAAAATATGTAGAGGAGATATTAGAGGCCCAAAGGAGAGAATGGTGAATTCTATCTTAAGTGGGGAGAGGTGGTAGGAGATAAAATAAGACTGTATCCAAAACGTGACATTTAAGTAGAGTCTTGCAAAATGAGTAGATGCTCAGTGCATGAAATGTATTCTAAGTAAAGGAATGGAGATTTTGAGGCACAAATCCATGTGGTACATTCCAGAAGCTGTAAGCAGTTCAGCAATACTGAGGAGGAGGTTTGGAGCTAGATGATGACCCTGTAGACCTAATGAGAGATGAAGCTGGAGACTGATGCTGGGACCAAGTCACGCAGAGGGCCTCCTGTGTTTCACTACAAGGACTCAGGAAGCTTTTGTGACCTGAACAGTATCACTGAGATTGTGTCACCTAAGTTGTCTAGTGCGACCACAAAGTGGAAAGCATGTGGAAAAAAATCCAAAGTACCTGACACCTTTGTTGGATTTCCCTTTCACCAGGTGCAGCTACACTTCAACACCCGAGTAGCCTGCACACCTGACAGCGCTGTTGAGTACCTACAACTGAGTCCTTAATCAATCAAATTGAGTTGGACTTGCCACCAACTCTGAGGGAAATATACTGCACTTCTCTGGGCCTCAACTTTATCATCTATAGAATAAAAATTAACCTTTGTAGTATAGAATTTTACTCTCCACACAAAATGTTTTCAGATGCATGATTCGTGAACATCAGTCTAGTATAATTAAACGGAAAACAACATCAAAAAAGGCTTTTGAGTCAGAAAGACCTGGGTTTGAATCCTGACTCTCCATGTGTTAACTTTCCCTATTATATGACAACTCCTTGAACTGTGGCTTCCTCTTATGCAAAATAAGGATAATGCACCTATCAGTGCCTGAAGCATAGCTAGTACCCAATAAGTAGCACTGTTTTTATATTGTTTTAAAATTTGCATCTACCCTATAAGGTAGGTAGAATAGGTCTTATGTGGCCCTGAAGTTGAAGATACAGAGGCTTACAGATATTAGTAATTTGCCAGAAGAGCAGCCAGCTAGGTAAGTGGTAGAACATGGCATAAATCCAAGTTCTTATTCTTTTCACTAAACGGTGCAGCTTCTTTTCTCCAAGTGGTAGGATGAGATTCAGATCTCTATGATGCCTTTCAAGCAAACGATTTTGTAAATAAATCAGATAGCTTCATACTTTCCTGAAATCTGAGCTCAGGGAACAGACAGACCTGAGTTATCTCATGCTTTATAATCATTTCTGGATGTGTGACTGGGATACTCTAGCCCTGTGTCTAGTTTTAGCATGACTGTAACCTGCCAGGAGAGGGAGCTCATACTGACTCCGTGCTAAAGTTACAGATACCCTGGAGACTTCAAGGGCTGCAGCACCGGGCGGGAAAGGAAGGGTGGGGCTTCCCTTGTTACGGGTAACGACTACACAGCTTTTTGGGAAGCTTGCAATAATGCATATTTTGGGAAAAACATTGACACTATTTTTTTATATATATATAAAAGGTAGGATTATGACACAGAATGAAATGACCTTTACCAGGAGGAAGTACAAAGAAAAAAAAGAGGAAGTAGCTAGAGCAAGGAAGACAAAAGGAAATTTGGCACAACAGGGTAGGTTTTGTTAATGCTGCACTTTTATTTAAATAGAAGGTAGACAAATGAAATATTTTTAGACTTGTACTGCAGGAACATAAGAATGGAATGAATGTTTAAAAAAATATTCTGAGAACAGAATTAGCATGTGTCCTTCTAAGAGTTATTTCCCTATTTTGCTTCAATAAATATTAACTTGCCATATGTCCAAACCCTGTGCTAGGCACTAAAGATATGGAAATGAACAATTGAGCTCTTGATCTCAAAGAATGGTCAGTACAGCAGAAAAGACTTACACATGAGCAGTAAATTACAGGAAAGCCTGCCACCTTCCATGCACTGGTTGCTAGTAGAGGACAGAGGGGGAAAGCTCTTATATCACCATGGGGGAAGTTCAAAGAGTATTTATGATAATTATAGATAATTTTTTGTGGGCACTCACCATCTGACAGGCAGTCTGCCAAAGGCTTTATGTGGATTATGTCATTTGAGCCTCACAATAATGCAGGTGCTATTCTATGATTTTCATTTTTTAGATTTGAAAATAGAGAAACAAAGAAACTTTTCCAGGATCATAAGCGGTGGAGTGATTTTTTTTCCAAGAGAAAACCTGGGCTAAGTGTTAACAACAACAACAACAACAACAAATCAGACAAAACTGAAAGAGAAGGATGGTGAAAAGGGGAAATGGGGGAGGATATTCTGTGCAGAAATAACAGTATGAAAGAGCCTGGTCAGCAAGTGACAGCAGATTGCAACAGAAAAATCACATCTTGTTCAATGCATGTGGGGGAGTAGAAAGAATTGAAATTAGAATGAGGGGCATGGGTCAGATCACAATGGGCTAGCCATGTCCTGAAAAAGAGTTTGAATTTTATTCTGAAACCACTGAAGCATGAAATAAGGAAAACAAAATAATAAGAAACAGAATATTATTATTGTGGTAGGCTGAATAATGGTCCCCCAAAGATGTTCACATCCTGATATGTTTGGGTGTTTGGTGCTTATCAAAAAAAGAGCCTCACACTTAGTTGAATGCCCTGCTGTTACTCTCTTAAAATTCTTAATAATTTCATTACAAGGGGCTATCCTGCATTTTCATTTTGCAATGAGCCCCACAAATTATGTAGCCAGTATTGCCTAATTCTAACATCAATCCTGAAAAACAAAAAAGTTATACTCACTTTATAAACGAAGACACTGAAAATCTCAGAGAGGGAGTATAATCCAGTAATAAATGCCTTGAGTCAACAGGTAAATTCTGCTACTTGCCAGTCAGGGCCCCTAGGACAAGTTTACTAATTCCTTCTGAGTCTCACTTTCTTCTTTTGCACAGTAATTATAATATCTACCTTGCAGAATGGTCATGGGCAGTAGAAGTAACACATGTAAAGTACTGACACAGTGCCGGCAGATCTCAGGGACTCAGATGGTAGTTGCTATTGCTCAAAGTCCCAGACTTAGTAGGAGTTGAAGAAGGATTTCATGCCTATATTTGTCTTTTTTTTCTCTCAGACTTGTATTTTGGAAGATCATTCTGGCAGAATGTGAGTTTGTGAAATGTAAGACTAGAGACAAGAAGACCAGTTCAGAAACTGTGGGAATGTCATAAATAACTTCTGCAAAGACTGTCCAGCTCTTGCCATCTCTTTTTTCTTTGATATCTGCCTCTAATACATAGAGGTCGTCCTCCAGAGCTGTGTCCCCATCACATGACTCAATCTTCCTCACTTTCTTAATCGGTGTTGCTTCCCCACAAGATTTCCCCAGAAATTTGGAATCTTGATCCAAGAGAGCAGAGCTGAGCATTGTTGGAACCAAGTCACCCTATCAAACAAACCTCCTGAGCTCATGCTCCCCAAGCCCAGGGAATTTCTTTCTTTCTTTTTTAAGATGGAGTCTTGTTCTGTCACCTAGGCTGGAGTGCAGTGGTGCAATCTTAGCTCACCGCAGCCTCCGCCTCCTGGGTTCAAGTGATTCTCGTGCCTCAGCCTCCTGAGTAGCTGGGATTATAGACACCTTCCACCATGCCCAGACTAATTTTTATATTTTTACTAGAGATGAGGTTTTGCCATGTTGGGCTGGTCTTGAGCTTCTGACCTCGGGTGATCTGCCCTCCTCAGTCTCGGAAAGTATTGGGACTACAGGTATGAGCTACTATGCCTAGCCCAAACCCAGGGATTTATTTTTTATTTTTTATTTTTATTTTATTTATTTATTTTTGGAACGATTCACGAATTTGCATGTCATCCTTCCTAGGGGCCATGCTAATATTCTCTACATTGTTCCAATTTTAGTATATGTGCTGCCGAAGTAAGCACCCAGGGAATTTTTTTAAGCTCCGTCTTCTGCCCTTTGCTATGACCCTAGATTCTCCTGCACTTCTTGGCTTTTTTGGATGGATAGCTTAGAGTAACACCTGATGGCTGTTAAAATATTCTGAGTTCACCAGCAATAAAAGAAATGCAAATTGAAACAACCTAAGATTGTTAAGATTCAGGCCAGGTGCTGTAGCTCACGCCTGTAATTCTAGCAAGTTGGGAGGCAGAGGCAGGCGGATCAGCTGAGGCCAGGAGTTTGAGACCAGCCCAGCCAATATGCCGAAACCTTGTTTCTACTAAAAAATAGAAAAATTAGCTGAGTGTGGTAGTGTATGCCTGTAATTTCCAGCTGCTAAAGAGGCTGAGGCAGGAGAATCACTTGAACCTGGGAGGGAGAGGTTGCAGTGAGCCAAGATCGTACCACAGCACTCCAGCCTGGGCAACAGAGTGAGATTCTGTCTCAAGATAAAATAAGAAAATAAAAAATAAGGTTATATTATGTACCTGATGTGGTTTGGCTGTGTCTCCACCTGAATCTCATCTTGAATTGTAATAATCCCCATGTGTCAAGGGCCAGGCCAGGTGGAGATAATTGAATCATGGAGACGGTTTCTCCGTACTGTTCTCGTGGTAGTGAATAAGTCTCATGAGATCTGATGGTTTTATAAATGGGAGTTTCTCTCTACAAGCTTTCTTGCCTGCTGCCATGAAACACACAGCTTTGCTTCTCCTTTGCCTTCTGCCATGATTGTGAGGCCTCCCCAGCCATATGGAGCTGTGAGTCCATTAAACCTCTTTCCTTTAAAGATTATCTAGTCGTGAGTATGTTTTTATTAGCAGTGTGAGAACAGACTAATACACTATCCATATCATTAATATATATGAATAAAGCAACAAAACCTTATATTGGGAGATAAGCGTTTTGTTGCTGATAGCGTTTTAGGTATAGCCAACTTTTCTGCAGAGTAACCAGGGAAGCAGTACATGATCTGTGAGTGTCCTTTGTTCCACTTTGGAACATATCTCAACGACATAGCTAAAGGAAGAATGTAGTAAGTGGTACAGACTCTGGTCCCACTATTTCTAATGGCACAAAACTGAAAACAACCCAAGTCCTCAGCTTTAAAGTAATTTTAAAATAATGTCTGACTAACTGATTTGGAATGCTGTGTAACCATTAAAAATGACAACCATGTGAACATGGAAATGTATCTATGAAATAATGTTAAATGAAAACGGCAAAGCAGACTGTGTCAGTGAGGGCATAGAAAAGTGGGAGCCCTCAATATAAAGGGAATATAAAATGGTGCAGCCACTTTGGAAAACACAATCTGGAAGTTCCTCAAAAAAAAAAACGTAGAGTTATCATTTGACAATGCCACTCCTAAGTATATACCCAAGAAAAATGAAAACATATGTCCACACAAAAACCTGTACACAAATATTCATAGCAGCATTACTCATAATAGTCAAAAGGTAGAAACGACTCAAATGTCCATTGGCTGCTAAAATGATAAAAGGTGCTATATTCACACCATGGAGTATTACTTGGCCATAAAAAGGATAAAGTGGTTACATGCTTCAGCAAGGACGAATCTCGAAAAACATTATGCTAAGTGAAAGAAGGCAGTGACAAAAGACCACGTGTTATATGAAACCATTTATATGAAATGTTCAGATTAGGCAAATATATAGAGGTAGAAAGTAGATTAGGAGTTGCTTAGGCTTGGGAGTGGTAGGGTGGATGGGAGGATTCAGATGTGATAGTATAAGGTACATGGTTTATTTTTGAAATAATAAAAATGTCCTCAAATTGATTGTGGTTATGCAACTCTCTGAATATACCAGAAACCACAGGATGCACACTTTAAGTAGGCAGATTGTATGGTATGTGAATAACATCCTTAAAAAGCTGTTATCAATTTTTAAAAAATTATTAAATGGTATGTTTGCAGTAGGTAAATTTTATGAAAAAATATATAATATACATACGAAAACTTCAATAAAGCTTTTTTTTCTTAAAGAAAAGCACAAACTAGTCACTGCTTTGTATGCATCTATACTTTTATAAAGTAACAAAGGCTGGAAGATACTGGGAGTCTGTGAAGGTATAACAGAAAGACCCCAGATCTGCAACCTAAAGGCCTGGTTCCCGTCCTCATCCTTTATTTACTAACCGTGTGACCTTGTTCAAGCCTTAGTTCTTTCATTTGTAAAATAGAAGTATGAGTTCCAACCTCACATGCTCATTTTGAGGCATAAATGTTTAGTGGGTTCATTTTCTTGCCCTTTAGGATTGCTTAAGCAGGAGTTTAAAACAAGGTAGCAATAAAAGTGCAATAACATATGTGAAAGAGATTTGAAAGTGAAATCTCCCATGAAAGAGTAAGATAGTCTGGATCCTGATTATGCTTCTGGCCTAGAAAACAGCATCAGCATAGCCTCAGCCTCAAAAAAAAGGGACCTTCCTTTTGCCTCAGTGCCTTGAAAAATGCCTTTATAACCGGCCGTGTGAAAATTAAGAAAAGCTTTCCACATTCTGAAAATGTACACTAGTTTTAAAGGTAATTTGGGGGCAACACAAAAGAGCTAAGGTGTGTTAATGCCAAGTTACCATAGCAACATGCTTGGCTGCTCTAGCCTTCCCAATCCTGGGCCTACCCCCAGATGGGATGATGAGCCCAGTGAACACCAGAACTACTCCATTCCACATGAAATTATTTTCTGCATATGCAGACAGGGGAGATGTTCATGCTTTCCCACAAATAATGTTTGAAGGAAGAAGCCCTGAATGTCTACCAAACAATCTCCTCTCCTTTCTGCAGAATCAGAATCCGGAACCTCTATACCCATTGCAATGCCTGGCATGTGGTAAGTCTTCAACATATAGCTGTTTAATGAATGAATGGTCAGAATTTACCTAGAAGTCCAAGGTTGGAATAGAACACCATTGTTTATTAGTAAGAAGAGACTACTAAATTATATGACAGGAATTTCGGAAAGGGGATTTAAATTCATACTGCACATAATTTGGTGTCTGTTCCAAGCCACACAGCATTTTCACATCTGTATCTGCCCTGTTTGTTAAAGATTTATCCAGCCCATAGCTAATTCCTCTCAAATATCATACTTGTTATTCTGAATGGACACAGTGTGACTCCACCAGCGTTATTCAACCTGTTACACGGCACACATTTTCAAAGGCTGTGTGGGAACAGTATGTGAAAACGGCTGCTTCACGAATGTGCTGTCCTCCACCCTTTGGAGTTCTTGGCTTGATCTTGCTAGAGAAGGCAGCCTGAGCCGGCCTGCATCTGGGTGAATTGTTTCCTCCTTGAAATGGGCAGAGGCAAACGTCACGAGTGCCAAGAGGGCTGTTTTTGAAATCGTTCTTGTGGGATTGGAAAGCCTCTCTGGACTCAGGAGCCAGGTTCTCAGTCCCCCCACAGTGTCAGGCTTTGAAAGCAGCTCGTATGTGCTTCCTCCATATATTCTTACATTTTTGGTGGAACCTCTGGGTCCCTTCTCTCTTGGAACACATTACCTTCTTAGAATCTCCTCACCCACTGTATGAAACCCCTGAGGTCAAAGGGAAAGAACAGTAAGGTCTCCGCTTCAGCAGATTTTCAGAGAACTGCTTCAGACCAGCAGCGGTAACTGCCGATCACTGGCACTTTGCAAACACTAACTCAGTTAATCTTCAAAAGTCCTTGGAATACTTGGAAGGCAAGTATTTTTGATTCCCATTTTATCTTTGAGAAAATCAAGGCTCAGAGAGATTTTAGTCAGTGGTTGAGCCATTATTTAAACTCAGGTCTAGCTGGGCGTGGTGGCTCATTCCTGTAATTCCAACATTGGGAGGTCAAGGGAGGAGGATCATTTGAGCCCAGGAGTTTGAGACCAGCCTGAGAAGTATAACAACACTGTGTCTACAAAAAAATAAAAATAAAAGTAGCAGGTATGGTGACATGTGCCTGTCGTCCTAGCTTCTCTGGAGGCTGATGTGTGAGGATTGGTTGAGCCCAGGAGTTTAAGGTTACAGTGAGCTCTGATTGTGCCACTGTACTCCAGCCTGGGTGACAGAGTGAGAATACCATGTCTAAAAATAAGCAAACAAACCAGCTCAGGTCTGAGTATATGCTTTCATCTAAAATAGCTAAAAACAACAAAAGCAGCAATAACTTTTGCCAATATCACTCTGCACTAGAGAGTTTGGGGAGAGCCAAAGGAGAAAATCCTGGCTTGAACAATACCCTCACATTGCTTAGACCTTAATCATACTAATTTTAGACCTTAATTGTAGTAGCATATGTGTTGTGGTTGGTGGCAGTAGGAAAGAATTGAGCAGGAAATACCAGGACCCAGATTCTGGCTAGTTAGAAAGATTAACAGATACCAGAGGTAGCTCTGCTTCTAATGCTCTTTGGATTCTTTCTCTTTCCATCCTTCAAGACCCATCTCTGTGAAAGCTTTCCTGACCACCCACGTGATCCCCAGCATCAATCCTTTATTTTTTGGCCCCGTTAAATTTTGTTACATCTCAGTTATAGCCATTCCTATCACATTTTGTTTTAATATATGTTTCCTAACTGGTTAGAGCACCTTGAGGCCGGTTCCTGTGTCTTAGTCCTCTTTGTACCAAGCACCTTGAACAGTTCTTGGTTAATAAACTCTCAAGTCAATGTTGCTACTCAGTAAATCACGACCTTCTCTTTATCTTGGTTTTTCAATTTTCAACGGGTATCCCCACTTTCCCTATGTTCTGACTTGGATGGAACTTATATTCTTCTTGGCTGCCCGGCATCTGAGCCCCTTTTCTGTGTCTGGGGAAACTGCCATTGCATGAGACATGCTGGGAGGTAGAATGTGTCTTCCCCTCATGGAAGCTGGAAAAGAGGCCAGACAGTTGCCCTCCTGGGTCCCTGGCAGCTGGTGTACAAGCATATGACCTAATCTTGGCCCCCCTGATATTATTGCCTGAGACTCTAAGTTTGAAGCGA